CGCCCACCCCATTGCGAGCAATGGGAAAAAAGTCGCGACATGTCGCGACACATCACATGATGTTGGAAGTTTGACACCCCTGCTCTAGCAGGTCATAATGCTACTATTTGCTGGAGGCCTTTTATGACATCTTTTTTTTACCAGTATTCTCCATTCCCTCAGAATAAATACAGCCTAGCTGAAGTTTGTTAGATTTCTATCCAGACTTTTGCTCAAGAACGTAAGGTAGCACACATACCAAAACACCCTATAAGTTGTTAAGAGAGTATAAACGTAAAGATTTTACGCTGCTAGTAGTTGCTGACTACAGGGGGTGATGCTCATCTCCGTTTCAAGGCCATTGAGCCAGTGTTGTCCAAAGACATTTCTGTGGTCATGTGGCCAGCATGACATCATGGAGTGTTGTTACCTTCCCACCGAAGTGGTACCTATTTATCTACTTGCATTTGCATGCTTTCGAACTGCTAAGTTGGCAGGAGCTGGGCCGAGGACGGGAGCTCACTCCATTGCATGGCGCTCGGGTCTTGAATCTGGGCTGTTGGCTTTCCAGCCAACAAGCCCAGCATCTCAACCGCTAAGCCACCATGACACCATTAAGACAGTGTGAATTAACATGTTGTTTATGATAATTAACTATATATCTATTATTGTTAGTTAAATACATATACCCAGACGTTATGCTGTTTGCTAAATATTGAAAATGTTATTTGGAAAAACCCCAACCCCAACCCTAACCCTAACCCTAACCCAAATCCCAACCCTAATCCCGACCCCTTATCCCTAACCCTATAAAAACTAATAAAATCTATACCAAAAACAAAGACAGTGTGACCCACCCAAAATCAGCCGGTGAACTTCCATAACTGAGGAATCAAAGAGAACATGGGTCTCAGTACTACACCACATAAGTTCTTGTGAGGTCTCCCATCAGTGTCCCCTTTCTTGTGTTCCTGGAGGAAATTGTCCTACTGCAGTGCTGGCCCATTTAGGAAAGAAACTTGTTAAGCAAATCAAGCACGATGGCTACATTCAAACCACTATAAAAATGAAGATCGTCCACAGGACTTTATAGAGGCTTTTAAGTTATGGTTCGATTGAGAAGCCCCAGCTCCAGATCTTAAAAAGAGCAATTGCACGCATCATTTTTTCTCTCTCTCTCTCATTAGGGAAGATGTTGGCAGAAATAAGCTATCTGACAGCTTGCCTGGCTTTGATGAGGCCTTCACACCTCCAGGAAAAATGTGACTGTAAAGCAGGCAGCGCAGAATTAAGGAATATGCAAGGCTGGCAGGAGTTATTTGGATGTCATTGTTCCTTCCTTTGGCCAGGAGGGCTACAATGACTCCTAATTTGAGAGCTGGCTGTGCATTCCCCTTAGAAAGAGAGAGGGGGGTAAAAAGGAGTATTTTTTTTTCTCACTGCAGGAAGCAAGAGCTTCTTTTTTCTGATGTAAAAAAATCAAAAACAAAACCTACCAGACAAGACTCTGGATTCAGTTTTGAGACAGTTCAGCTAGTGCTTAGTGAAATCCGTGCCTTATCTCTGCCAGGATAGGCTTTCAGTAGTTGACAAATATATAGTATGAGAAGCAAGAATGGAGTAAGCAAGGAGACTGTGCTGCTATTCCAGAAGATCTTTGTTTATTGCTTCCTCCGTAGGTTAGAAACCAAAGAAATCAGAAATGAGAATTTTATTTTCCAATTCAATCCAGAATAGAAAGTTGGGGTAGCTCTTAAGATCATGTGTGTGCCCTTTATTAACAGACACTCAACTTTTCTCCTTCCAATTAAATGATATTCAGAGTCATGGGTTATTTTGAGATCATTCACAGCCTGCATGCATCAATTGCTCTTATTGGTATGGAATTGAATGACATTAATGAGTGTACACAGACAGGAGTCCAAATTATTTTCTTAAGCATTAACAAAAAGTACATTAAACTTTGGGCTACAGTGGAATCCAGAGGTCAAGTTTGTAATTTTTTACTGGAGGTGTCCTGCATTCTTTCCAACTCTTTTCAGATAAAATTTAACTGAAGTAAAAAAAAAATCCACATACCTTCTTTGAGAATGAAATGCTTGCTTACGGGCTGAGCAATCCATCATTGTTTATCATTTCAGTGAATGCAAAATATAGGTCTTAATACCGTAGTTTGATTACTCACGGCAAAAATAAATGGGAGGGGGGGGAAATGTCTGTTAAACCTGTAATGATCACAAGCAGCCACAAGATGGGGATGACTAACTTTGGAACCTAATTCCATTGAAGAAATCTTCAGAGCACTAGAAATAAAAGTTGACAAAATTAACGTTGAGCAATTTAAATGAAGGAGCAAGGACAGTTAAGACCCATCCACAAATTTCTTAAAGATGTTATTATTTTATTTTAAATAAAATAATAAAATTTTAATAATTTTATTGTTTATTATCTAGGGATGGCCCACAAGTCCAAATTAACAACAAAAGCTTTCTAGATGAACCACCCCACCCCCAACTCTTAAGAAGTATACTAAGCCCTCAGGTAATATAAACAAGGGGTTTCTTTGGGCATTAACAGAACATCTTTTGGGGTACTTAAGACAGACAAATCTTCACCCCTAGTAAAACCTGTCTATAAATGCAAAAAGTAGCAGTTTTGTCAGGTAGACAGGAGTTACTGTTTTACTAAATCATTTTGTGCTTTTTAAAAAAGCTTGCTTTTAACTCATTTATAGTATGGAAATTTGAAGTGGAAGACTTTAAAGGCCCATAAATCTACAAAACAGCTATCATCTTCCTACTAGCTAATTCATTATTTTACTTATCCACATATATTATTACACATGGAACCCATTTATCCTCCAAAAACTTCTATCATCCCTTGATCTGCATCCATGTGGCCAGTTCTAGCTTCAGAATCAGAAGTCCATCATGTGCCTACAGATCACACAGAACCAGCAGCCAACATGCTGGTAAGCCGGAAATGAAGGCTTCGTATTCCAGAAATAATTTTTGAGAGTGTCATCTGTTTTTTCTTTTCTCCTTCCACAAACAAAATGTCTACTCTAAAAAGAAAACCCTCCAAATTATGGTTTCTGACATTGTTTTCTGTCATGTAACACACAGTATTATACGTACTGTATGGTGTAACAGGCTGTATTCACACACCCTGTTACACCATAATGTGTGGTTTGTTTGGTTTGGCTTGGTATGACTGCTTGGGAATTTCAAGATATGAGCAATTTGCTTCCCAGATACCTCGTGTTCTTATTTCCACTCTTAACCCTACCGCTCCCAAAACAAGTTAAATTTGGTCTGTTTGCAACATTAGGAGGGGACAGTTACAGGGGGGTTATGAGTGGGAATGTGAGCAGAAAGTTTTCTAATCCCACTCTTAATCTTGAGGTCCTCTCACCCAGAAAGACTAGACCATTGAAATCTCATCATATTTTGACCATATTTTTGGTACAGCAATAGTTTGCAAAGTGGGTGCTACAAGCCCCACGTGGCTGGCAAGTTGGTTGTCACAGTCTTAGGTTAAAGCTTATTGCAAATAAATTTGTGGGTTATTTAATAAACCATTATTAAATAAGCCACTGTTTAGCACAAACAAACCCTGGACTAGATTCACATGTTGCACTAAGCCATTTTGATTTAGCACATAGAATAACAGAATTGGAAGGGACCTTGGAGGTCATCTAGTCCAACCCACTGCTCAAGCAGGAGATCCTGGTACCATTTCAGACAAATGGCTGTCTGATCTCTTCTTGAAAGCCTCCGGTGATGGGGCACCCACAACTTCTGAAGGCAAGCCGTTCCATTAGTTGATTGTTCTCACCATTACGAAATTTCTCCTTGGTTCTAGGTTGCTTCTCTCCTTGATTAATTTCCATCCATTGTTTCTCAACTTGCCTTTTGGTGCTTTGGAAAATAGTTTGACCCCCTCTTCTTTGGGGCAGCCCCTCAAATATTGGAACATGGCTATCATGAAATCCCATACACCTTGTTTTCACTAGACTAGACATATCCAATTCCTGCAATTGTTCTTCGTATGTTTTAGCCTCCAGCCCCCTAATCATCTTTGTTGCTCTTCTCTGCACTCTTTCCAGAGTCTCAACATATTTTTTATATTGTGGTGACATTGTGTGGACCTGGAGATTACAGGCTATTAAAAATCATGGTTTGAGCAAACTATTGCTTAGTATAATGCGTGGACCCAGCCACAATATAACTGCAGTTGCCAGTAATGCAAAATAGTAATGCAAAATAAAAGATTTTCCAATCTTCGTTATTATTCATATATGTTAAGAGAAAAGTACATGAGCTTGAATCTCAATCACATTATTCTAAAGCATAATTCAGAATTATTTTTTAACCAGGCAATTCCTTCAAGTCTTCTATCCATATGCAAACACAATTATGGCATAATATCTTCAATCTAAAAAGACTGCTTATATCCAAAATCCTTTACCAATTTTGTTACAACAATTGATCAGAGACATGTACTACCTATTTCAAGAACCGTTTCATAAAAAAAAATCAAGAGTCTATATTTGGAAAATTATTTCTTGATTTCAAACAACTACATTTCAAGTCAAAAAAGGAAACGTATCAAATATTTTGAAAATGTAAAAGACAATTCCACAGCTTTGATTTTCTGGAGTTTTTCACGTTACTCTTGGATTTTCAATTTCCAGTTTTCAAGTGTCACCTTTTTTTCTCTTCCAAAGATTCAAATGAGATGAAATTATACGTTAATATAATGTTCCATAGCAATTTTGCTTCTAATAATTTTTCACTGTTGACACTCCAGAAATCTCCCCATTTTCAAATTATTTTATGTCCAATTTCAACTGATTTGGGGGGAAAGAATCCTGTGGCAGCCTATTTTTTTTTTTATAATGAAGGATTTAATATTAATTTGCTCTTTATTGGAAGTACATTTAAGAATCGGGCTCCACAACGCGTTATCAGCCCAACTGAACGAATTAGAATAAGAAAAGGTACGTTTCGATCAAAATGCTATTTGCGCTCTTCATTTAACTTAGTGTGCATCTTGGTACTGAAAAGCCTGTCTTCAGTGGGTGAGTAAGATGCATCCTTGATCACTCCTGGAAAGGAAGAATCCATCACTGGATGAAAAGGAAAAGCAGGAAACAAGCCAGTCCTTAGGTATGGTGCCATCAATCCAGGTAAAGTTCTTCCTGGAGAAGAATAAGTCACTGTTAGAGGTCCAATTCCCAGTCTAGGGCTTAAGCCATAAAAATTCATCTCTCTTCTGGAAGAGGCCGAGCTGGTTTGAAGAGGAGCAAATGCTGATTTATTGCCAAGTGCTGCGACATCTACTCCGAGGCCAAAATCAGAAGATCTCTGGAAAGCACTGCATTCGGGCAAGACTGGAATTGTCAGCTCTCTGAATCCTGCCCTGTGTTCGCTGGCATTCAGGATCTGCTCTATAGCTTGGACTATGTCTCCTCTGCAGAGCTGCAGAACTCTTTCTAGCCTGCTTGGTTTGTGACTGGGAAAGACCTTTGTAAGAATATTAAGTGGGTCTCTGCGCTTTAAGGCACCATCAGCAGGAGGAGGAGGAAGAGGAGGAGGAGGAGGAGGAGCAGGGACGCTGGCATTACAGGGAACAAAATCCTTGGTACACTCGCTTTCGTTTCCTGATTCCATGTCTGAAGAAGACAGGGAGGCTGGGCTGTCGGTTCCTTCTAAAGATTCATCAGGACCCGATAAAGATATCTCTTTGCTTAAAGCCAGCATCCCGGATGGCTTCTCTTGATTGCTTCCAGCAGCTTCAGGAGAAGATGTCAGAGAGGGTGTAAGTAAATGGACTACAGAACCGCCCGATTCACTGCAGTAAAAGCCGTACTTCTGAATCTTCTCTTCTAGTGGGGGGAAAAAATGCAGCCAAATATTCAAGTTATTACAATATATCTGATTATCTACTGCTTCCTCATATAAACACCCCTAAGGCCTCTGCATTGCTAGTTATGGAATCACATTTCTTATTATTCTATGTACACAATTCAGCACCATTGAAAAACTCTCCCTCATCACTATTGTTGGTTTCATTCTCAAAGTATTCTACAGGATATGCTTACTTTTACTTCACCTACAACAAATTTCCCATAAACACCCTAGTTACTGTTAAGTGCCCAGGTCACAGGTTACTTATACGCATGACATATAATGTACATATCCTCTTTTCTGGGTACCTATTATGAATTTTTCAAGCAGGATCCTTCACTTGTGCAGAATGTGAAAACGAACTTACTGCAAACTAGAAACATTGCAACATGTAAATGAAGACTCAATCATCCAGGCCAAAAATATCTAAGAAGGTTATAAATCATGGCAACTGGACCAAAGTTTATTAAATTGAGACGTTTTGTTACTCATCCAAGTTAACTTCTTCAGTCAAAATGAAAATTTTTGGTTAGGCACAGAGTCAGAGTATCATTGGAATGTACTAACTCTTGCCATGCTGACTGCAGGGGTTACTCCCCCAAAATTGCAACATAAAATGGAAGCAATATCCCCACAGGACAGTCTTCGTATGTGAAGTCACTCCTAAATGCTTAAAACCCACAAATTGTATATGAAAATAGATTAATTGTATTTGGATAATATGCTTTTTGTCATCCATCAAGAAGAAAATAACGCTGCCATGCTTTTCCCAAACAACTTGTTTCTCTGCCTCCTGCCACAGATTTCCTACAAGCACAAGCTGATCTGCAGGAAGATCATTTAAATTAAGGACAGCAGTAAAAGAAAACTGTAATTCTCATTACCTTTTAACAGAGCTTTCCCAAGACAATTTCTCGGTGTTTTGTATCTTTATGTACTACAATTGCCCATACAAAGAACAGCTCATAGATTTAGTTCATTTGCCTTGGAACAAGCAACATACTCTAGTTTGGTAGCATCCACGCAATGCCAAATGCTTGCAATATTAATAATACCTTTGTATAATTTTTAGAAGCACTGTCTATTTTTCCAAGCATTATTATTTTCCTTAAAATATAAGCAAATGGCCAACCCGCCACACCTATGATTAGAAAATGAAACTCTTTTAGTTCTTCAATAATCCATGTTATGGAACATGATGAAAAGACACAATCTTAGCACATTCTGGGAAGTGTCACTAATGCTCATCAGCGTGGATGTGTTTGAGATGGAAGAAGAGCTATAATGCTATTAAAAACAGACTTTTTAGCATCTTTTGAGCCTAAAAAGAGATATCATATTCTTTCTTTTGTAAATTATTATGCCAACAAAACTTATTTACGTGAATGGATCTTACAGAGATCAATGGATTCTATCTACAGCTCCTTTTTAGTTCCAACAATATACAATATTAAGCTGTGATTCTTTTTCCTTCCTTCCTTCCTTCCTTCCTTCCTTCCTTCCTTCCCCTCCCTCCCTCCCTCCTTCCCTTCTCTTCTCTTCTCCTTTCTTTTTCTTTTTTCTTTCTTTCTTTCTTTCTTTCTTTTTTCTTTTTTCTTTCTTTCAGCACAGAACAGGCAGATTTCTACTTTGCAATCTAACAAAACTATTACTAGTTATAATTATATCCTAAATAACAAATAAGTAATTAATAATCTTCATAATCCAAAAGGAATTTGAGCCGCACACTCATCTATAAAGTAACTCACACTCATAGCTATTATTTGACCTGAGGATTATTAAGAACACAAAAGAAAATGGGATTCAATTAGTCCTATCCCAAAATGCTCAAAACACACCATCACCATTCTCAGTGATCTCCCTCTGATCTCTGCCGTGAAGAAATCTAAAACTTAAAAAGTCGGAGGAAAAAACCAGTAGTTCCCCCCTTTGCCCCAAGAGCTGTTTAATTATAATTGCCAGCATCCTCGATTATTCATCACTCAGACATGAATGAGCATTTGCGAACTATGCTGCCTGAAAGGCCATCAATTGCCCATCTCTTTCTTCCCATCCTTAGCTCGAATTAGCCGCGGTTGATTGAGTTAGGAGGTTTTTCTTGTGGCCCCACCACTTTTTTTTATTGAAATGAACCCCAAATATCAAGGGGAATCCCACCTCTTCGCCCGCGCTGGAACTCCGGGCAGTAACTCTTGGGAGCCGGCTCGCTTTCAGCTCTGGCGCCGCCGGCCGCCTGTCTCTCCGGGCTCAGGCGGACCGCAACAGGCGTCCGCTTCTGCTGCTGATTGGGGTGAGTCCCGCCGCCTCCGCCCCGCGCGTCGATCTCCTCCTGCGCTTGCTGCCTGCGCAGCGCCACCTGGGCGGCCATCACGCGCTGCCGCTCCGCGATGAGCGCGCACTTGACGCACGCACAATCCCGCCAGCGGCAGAAGCGCTTGTGGCCCTTCAGCGCCGACACCACGCCGTGGTTGCGGCAGCGGGCGCACTTCGGCGTGCGCGGGTAACACACGCCGCGCTCCAGCCCCACCGCCGCCTGCGCGTAGCAGCTGGAAGGATTTCCCGCCGAGGCGGCGGCGGCTGCGGCAGCCGCGGCGGCGGCGGCGGCGCGCATGAAGAAGCTGGGAGGGCGAAGGAAGGTGGGCGGCATAGGGAGCCCCGACCCTGCCGGGGGTGCTCTGGGCATCGAAACGGACAGCCCCGGCGGGGGAAGAAGCGGCGGGTTGCTCGTCGCCATGAGTCCGTGGACCGGGAGCAGCGCTCGGTTGCTCCTTCAAAGGCGCGCGTCTTCGGGCGAGGGCAGCCTTTGCGCGAGTGTGATCGGGCGCTGACACCCGCAGACCCCGAGAGTGGCTGGCGGGGTGTCCGCCCACTTGAGAGCAGGGAGACGCCCACCAAGACCGAAGTGGCCGGGATCTAACTCTCCGGACGAGTTGGAAGTGTGTTTTCTGTATCTATGGGTTGGCTGCACCACTACTGTACACTTAAGAGAGGTGCCAAGAAACACCTCCACTTTTGAGGCTCGGAAATACATGTATGTGTGAAAGCATTCGGGAACTATTCCGTGCGGCCAGCCTGGCGTAGTTTGATTATGTTTTAGTGGGGGGGTTTTGTATGGGGTGTTTTTAGAACAGGCCCGTTATTTAATTTGATTTTAGAACAGAAACTATTTATTTATTATTGTGGTTTTTAGTATCGCCTGTTCACCACCCTGAGTCCCGTAAGGGAGATAGGGCAGTATATAAATTTAATAAATAAAAATAAATAAATAAATACATTTTGCTTTCGCGCCTTCCAACACCAACCCGTGTCAGGGAAATGAGCCTGCGTTCAGACACACACAGATCTCGGTAAAAAGCAGTGGCGCACCAAACTGTCTTCCATTAAGCAACCTTTATAAAAATATATATATATTCCCTTCAGTGGAGATAAACAAAAAACGCCAGCACAATTGGCAACTTTTTGCTCCCGCTATTATTTGAAGAAAGACACTTGGCATGCCCTCCAGCATTAGATATAATTCACTTTGCCAACTGTGATTATGTTATGCCACCCTTATCTCCTAAGAATAAGCAAGATTTATTAGAAGAGAATAGCTAATCCCCGAAGAATGTCAAAGCACCTTGAAGATTAATAAAATCTATAAAGTTATTAAACCGTAATAAATATTTAGCCTATTTATTGCTACCAGATAATAACGTGGCTATTGAGCAAGTTGCAGAAAAGAATGGTTCTCCACTCACTTCAGCTAGAAAAAGATGTAAGGTCAAAGCAAATATAAAACTTTACACTTCATGTGCCATAAATTGAATGTATGTAATATATTCACCGTACACAAAGATCAACAATTTAATATTAAATATGGAACAATAAACTCAGTGAATTCGGTCTTAAAAAAATTCAAAACTATGACAGTCTCAATATTCAAACGATACATAGGACGAATGTTAACCAAGAAACACACTCCACTTTTTACTCTCTGACATACTGTATATACAGCTGGAAAAGCATCAGAAGTTAGGTGACCACTAAAATATTTCATGTTCCTCTTTCATATTCATGAGTAAAAATGTAATGCATTTTCTTAAATGAGAATACCTGATTCAGAATCAAAATGTATGATGAGCTAAAGATGTGGTGGTCTTTTCATCAACCAAAAGTATTGCAATCTGCCATCTTCATATTTGCCCTTGGGGCTGTTTGAGATCTAGGTGGATGGGAGTATGTTTGTAGGGACACCACAAAAAAGGCTGAATACCCCCTCCACTTATGTTCTGGGTTCTTCCTGCCCCAGCACTCTAGCTGCTTTCAACCAAAACAGCAATAGCAGGATATAAAATGCAATTCCAAGTTATAATTTGGGTTTCATTGATAATCTGGGTACTTTTGTCTGGTGCCCATCACAGTCACAGTCAGTTCAGTAGGTGTTGTAAGGGAACAAGTCTTGTGTATTGAGCTGTATCTATCTTCCCATCATCTTGAAAAACTGTTATGAAAAATATTGCATTACACTCAATGTTAAAGTCTCCCCCCCCCCCTCTAATTTCTAAAGAAAACTATAAATCTAGCTGCCATGTAATATTATCTGGTATCATTCTTTCAGAAAAGAAGTGAAGAACATCTGAACTGCTTTTAAGAATCCTCTTAGAGTTTTGGTTCTAATTTTAATCATGTTGTAATTACTGCGTGCTGTTTGTATATTTTTTTCTATTGGTATTATCATTCATAGGATTCATAGTTGTCTTGCTGCTCAAATAGAAATGTGGGCTATTAATTAAAGTTATGTTCAAGAAACACAAAATCCACATAGAGCTTGGCTGATCAAACTTTGTACATACAACAATAGTAAGAGTGACAAATTGGTTGTTTTATGTGGTGATCCTTCCTTTCTTTCTTGTAGGATTTGTTAAGCCGCTCCTCTTGCAAACATACAACTCCAGGAGACATACAACAATGAAGAGCGAATTACATTAAAACAGAGGCCCGACAAAAAAATACTGCAACCAAACACACAGTTGGGACTTTATGCAGGTTACATTTAATTCTGGTCATTTTTGAAAGGCAGTATTAAACAGAGTTGGTGGATGCATGGAGATTGGAAATATTTTTTTACAAGATCAAACACAATATCTACCAAGTATGCTATTTGCAATTTTAGTACAAAAGAATTGGTTTTAGTGATCTTCAAGATCTAATAAACATTTGATTCTTGACTTATAATTGCATTTATAAATTCATTATCCCTGAAACTTTCTTTGTGATCTAGTACTTTGTGTTTCTGATTTTTTTTTTCAGCAGTGTCTTATTATAACAGTGGAATGATTTAATGTGAAATGTGTTTTTTCTTGCTATGGTCAGATAAACTACAAAATAATTATTTTCTAGATACTGTTACTACTTTTTCTCCAAAAGATTCCAGGACTGACAAGATCCATCATTCCCCACCTCACCCCCATAAAGCTTCGAAACTTTTCTTTGAAACTTTTAACTCAAGCATTGTCAGCCCTTATTCTGCTCTACAAGGTAGAAGAAAATAAAAAAAAAACAATGGTATATGGGTCAGGACTATTTTTATTGTAATAAGATAATCTTACAAGTCTGAATGTGCCTCCCTTTGTCCTCACTCTATTGTTATGTGAGCAAGGCGGGGGGGGGGGTTATGAGAAGTTTTCTTAATTTTGTTTATTGGCCCGGGGTTCAAGCCCCACTTATTTGACTGTTGCCTTAGTGACAGCTCTTCCTCCTGTCCTTGAAGGCCGTTTCCTATGCCGTGTACAAGAATTTAGAGATATTTGATGGGAAAGTTTGAAGGACCAAGAAGAACATTTGACAGATCTTATTGATTGGTGTTTACGTACTATTCTCAAACTATTCTTAGAAGTCAGGTGCTGGTGATTTAGTTCGAAATGTTAGACTGATATTTAATAGTCAGATTCCCAGCTCAATATGTGAATCCAGCCAGTTCTGGCCAAAGAGAATAGTATCTAGTGCAGATAAATAATATAAAACACATTGAGCCTTACTGAATCAGGCTAGTATGTACATGCGCTAACAGCTAGTTTCCAACTTTAGTCAACCCATGATTTCATTTCTTGCCCAGCATGAATGTAAAGACATTTGTCTTCTACTAAGCCACCACATTGTATTCTATATCTATGTTTAAAACAGCACGCTTCAAACAACCTAGTATTCCAGGTGTGGTCTTACTAGGGTTTTATAAAACGGTACTAATACCTCACGTGATCTTGATTCTATGCCTCTGTTTATACAACCCAGGATTGTATTAGCTTTTTTGGTTGCTGCTGCACACTGCACACTGCTGTCAAGTGATCGTCCACTAGGACTCCAAGGTCCCTCTCACAGTTACTGTTTTTTAAGCCAGGTCTCGCCCAATCTGTATTTGTACCTTTGGTTTTTCCTGCCTAAATGTAAGACTTTCCTTTTCTCCACATTGAAACTCATTTTGTTGAATAGGGCCCATTGTTTAAGTTTGTCAAGATCTTTTTGGATCCTGAGTTTGTCTTCTGGGGTGTTGGCTACTCCTGTCAGTTTGGTGTCATCTGCAAATTTGATGAGTTTTTATGTATGGTAGTTTGCAGTACTTTTAAAGTTAGAGTAGCTGCATTACATTAACTGGAGGCCTGCTTTGAAAAGGGTACATAAGAGAGCCATCTATTCCTGACCGCCTCCTTATTTACATTGCTATATAACTAGCTGCATGTAAGCATCTGTTTACCTACAACTAGAACAGCGTGAGCATCTAATTGAATAACCTGACTCTGAAATAATTTCTAAGCAATGATTCCCTGAACAATTATAATGAATTGTCCTCAGGCAAAATTAAATGAGAGAGTGTGTGATGAGCTTGCCTCTCACTGGCTGATCATGTATCCATCCAAACACCCAAAACCATATAGTTTCCACTCATTATGCTGATAAGGAGCTAAGAATTGGTGTTAGATTCTGTCTGGAAATAGTGCTCCAAGGAGTAAGCCAATGTAGAATTACCAAAACCTTATAAATCCTAGGAGAAAAAGAGCTTGGAAATTGAAGTGACCAGTTTAAATATCTAATACAGGTAGTCTTCAACTTATTACCACAATTGAACCCAAAATTTCTGTGGCTAAGTGAGACAGTTGTTAAGTGAATTTTTAGCTCATTATATGATCTTTCTTGCCACAGCTGTTAAGTGAATCACTGCAGCTGTTAAGATAGTAACAAGGGGTTGTTAAGTGAAACTGGCTTCCCCATTGACTTTGCTTGTCAGAAGGTCGCAAAAGGTGATCCCTTGACTGCAGGACACTGCAAAGGTCATAAATATATGTCAGTTGCTTAGCATCCAAATTTTGATCACCTGACCATGGGGATGCTTCAGCGGTCGCAGGTGTGAAAAACAGACATAGGTTAGTGCTGTTGTAACTTCGAATAATCATTAAATGAGCTGTTTAAGTCCAGGACTACCTGTATGACAGTAACATATTTGAGCAGTGTTGAAGATACACTAGGGCAAGAGTAGGCAACCTTGGCTCTTTTATGACTCGTGGACTTCAACTCCCAGAATTCCTGAGCCAGCCAGGAATTCTGGGAGTTGAAGTCCACGAGTCATAAAAGAGCCATGGTTGCCTACACCTGCACTAGGGGTATCCAAACCTAGCAACTTTAAGCATTGTGGACATCAACTGGCAGGAGAATTCTGGGAGCTGAAGTCCACAAGTCTTAAAGTTGCCACGTTTGGAGACCCCTGAGATAGACTATCAGTTTCAGTTCAGTATCTTATAATCTTAATACAATTAGGCAACATTTTTACTTCGGAAAGCGTGTGAGTTTGTGAGTAGTTACAAATCCACGAAATATTTGATGGCCCAGTTCATGGAAGGAGAGAAATAGGAACATGTGGGACCTGACATACCCACAGATGGCACAGTTGGGTGCCAGAACAATGGTGAGGGGAAAAAAAGAAGATCAAAAGTTTTCCTGAACAAAAGATTAACAACTAGGCCATGGACAGCTGCCAAGTCATCTGGCTGAACCAAAGAAAGAGGAGATTTTGCCACTTATACTTATAAGAGGCGTGGTGGCACAGTGGTTAGAATGCAGTACTCCAGGCTACTTCTGCTGATTCTGGGCTCACAGCAGTTTGGCAGTTCGAATCTCACCAGCTCAAGGTTGACTCAGTCTTCTATCCTTCTGAGGTCGGTAAAATGAGGACCCAGACTGTTGGGGGCAATATGCTGACTCTGTAAACTGCTTAGAGAAGGCTGTAAAGCACAAGGTGATGGTCTGTACAGACATCATTGTGGCTGTATTATAATGTCTAGAATAATCCCCCACTGATAGAAATTAAGAAAAATTAAATAATCTACCATTATGGACATCTGTACACCATAATTTCAGTTTATTCAAACTAAACAACCACAGACTCTTCATTAAAATTTACTTTTGAAAAGTAAAGTTTAGATTTTATGTTATTTGCACAGTTTGGATTTATTTCAATTTGTTTAGGAAATGTCCATTAATGTTTGCATTAAAAGTGAAAGTGAGAGAAATTTCATTCTTTGTAAAAATTATATCCTGTCTATACGAACCAAATCATTTTCCAGTGCAGTAAAATAAATTGTGTGAAACATTTAATGTGCATGTGTTTATTTCTGAATTTATTTCTATAGTTTTGGTCAGATTCATGACGCAAAAAAGAATAACCTGTTTAAGAGAAAATGTTTGATAAAAGTGAAACAGGCTTGAATTATGAAACAAATTGCACAAATATGGATTTGAAAATTGGTTGTTGAATACAGTAAAATTAGAGTATGCTGCCTGCAAAGGACCCATGAGAATAAATGAAAAACTTAGTGAATGGTTCATCACCGAGCAGAAAATTAAAAAAAACAAAAAACTATGTGATATCCCATAGTTTAAGGGTCTTAAGTAGAGGCTTGGGCTGATCTTAGAGATGTGTGAATACTTGTTGAAAGAAGCAAAAATCATCCATTTAAGAACATGAGTCTGTTATTTGGAAATGGAAGCTGGATATGTCAGGAAAAACAAAATGAAGTTGAATACAATGGATACTTAAGAAATGTGTGGTAAAACAAGAAGAAACGGGGTCAAGAATGAATGAGTTTTGAATATATGTGAAATGAATACAAAAGTGAGTGAATAGAATGAAAGAAATGCATTGAAGTAAATTGGTAATATAGACAGAATGAATGAGAACAGACTCACTGAACAAATATATGAAAGGAAATTGAATAGGTCAAGAGGAAGGGAAAACTAAGGAGATCATGGCTGCATAGCGCTAATGAGATTGCGAGAAAGAGAGGTGAGAAGTTTAAAGGAGAAAAGATAATGTGCAAATTGGTGCATGAATGCTGTGGAAGCAAGGGTGGCTTGCCAGGTAGGAAACATGAACGGTGTACAGGTGGTCTTCAACTTATAACCACTTGTTTAGTGACTGTTCAAAGTTATAATGGCATGAAAAGGTGTCTCACGGCCATTTTTCACATGACCCTTGCTGCATCACATGATCAAAATTTGGATGCTTGGCAATTGACTCATATTTATGACAGTTGCAGTGTCCCAGGATCATGGGAACACCTTTTGTGACCTACTGATGAGCAAAGTCAATGGGGAAGCCAGAGTCACTTAACAGCCGTGTTACTAACTTAACAACTGCAGTGATTCACTTAACAACTGTGGCAAGAAAGGTTGCAAAGTGGAACAAAACTGTCTCTTAGCAATAGAAATTGTGGTCATACATTGAAGACTACCAGTAGTGAATGGTATTGGTCAGTCACCTCCTAAGGCAGCGGCCCCCAACTTTTGGGGCATCAGGGACCGGTTCCGTGGAGAGAGGTTTTTCCATGGATCAGAGGGGGCATGGTTTCATGTACTTGGGGCTTCACTTGTTTGCCTGGACCGGTTTCTGGCATGCCGCAGACTGGTGCCGGTCCACGAACTGGGGGTTGGAGACCTCTATCCTAAGGAGAATAGTGTGATGGCATGCATATGCATATGATATGTTAGTATTTTTACAGCATCTAGTAGGTGCATGAGTCTTTGCTTTTTGTGAAGAGCAGGTAACATGCAGGAGATTATTTGTTTATTCATAAAACAGATTTATACAGTGGGGTTTTTTTGTAAAAAAAAAAAAAGGTGCTGGAACTCACACACGTCATACAACCCGCCTTGCCTACCCTACAAGGTTCCATCCAAAAAAGGTGCTGGAACTCCGTTCTGGGCGTTCTATGAGAAAAAAAATCCTGGATTTATATAGCCCAACTCACATACAGTGACTCCAAGTACACAGTTTTATCCACAGTTTAATTTCAGAGGCATAGCTCTTCTCACAGCTGTCCTTTCTTTTAAGCGTAATCTGAAATGAGTAAAAACACAAATGCCCAACCCTCATGACCACTTGCAAATTCAATCCTTGTATTTAGTTGTTTGTTAGATTTATACCCTGCCTTTCATACCTGTGTCTGTAATATCATTCCCCGAACTCTGCATCTCTTCAGAAGCCCAGTTGATTTTGGAATACCTGAGGCATTTTTTTTTTTTTAAAGAAGAAAGCGAAGCATTTTTCTAGTGTTAGAAAACAAAGGTGAGGATCATATCCATTGTAGGGCTTTAAGTGCTCTCATTTTCTAAAGATTTTTAAGCTGTTGTATTAACTGTTGGGCACTGCCAGCTAAATACACTTCAGAATGCACTCTGTTGCCGAGGTGCCAGGCAATCTATTATACCCAGCTGCATTGCCTCCAGCTGGAATCTTCACAAAAGCAGACGAGTGAGGTCAAAACTAAATCAAAATGAAAATCAATCCCCCAGGTGTTCTTTTCATTCTCTCTTCCAATCTGCTGAGGCCAATCCCATAGCTGTTGCAAGCACGACAACTAATTTTGTTTTCCCTCTTTCTCACCCCAATCTCACTTTTCCTCTTCCATACGCACCTGGCAAAATACATTTGCAATTGCTGTGTAGTTGTGGCTGCCAGCATTAAATCCTTGTTATTGATTGATTAAACGATTGATTGGTTGGTTGGCTGGCTGCCTCCTCTTTCCTTTTAATATTATAACTAGACCAGACTTAGATTTCCCCCCCCCGTCAATTATTCAGTCGTAATACTTAGAAAGAATAACTGTCTTCTACTGGTGGTGACATAGACCTTATGACAAGGTCCACATAAAGAAAGCCAAATAATTACCAGCATTGACAAATGTTGAATGCAGAGTTTCTACCATAAAGGGGAGGAAAAATATTGACTGGAAAATGCCTGGAGGGTGGATACTGCTCCCAAGTTATATCTCCCCAAGGTTACTATGCTGCAAATTGGTATAAGCCACCAGCAGAGTCTGAAACAAGACATGGGGTGACACCTTCAGAGGAACATTCTGATTGGCCTGTCAGATCTGTTAAGGTAATCACTATATATATATATCAACACTTTCAGGATGAGTGTGAGAAGAAAGGGATGGTGAACAATCTTCAACCCAAAGGGTAAATGGAGAGATAGAAAAAGCTGATTGGGTTCCAATTTACTTCCAACGTACACATTAGGTTGTAAATATCCAATATTCTTTTTTTCACAAGTTTTTTTATTTTATTTCTAAAGTTAAAATACAACATAAGATCCAGTCAAATTTCACACCAAAACAAGAACTGCTTATACTGTATGTCTTGTTCAATGGGAAAAAGTTTTGTAAACCAAAGAATTTGGGCTTTGTTTCTTTTAAAACTTTAAAAGTGCTTTGTTGAGATACAGACTTCTCTTGCTACTTTCCAGAAAGGTAGTATTTGAAACAAATGCTTAGCAGTTTTTTATTAAGTTATTTTATACATTTTGCATTGTTATATTTAATACATTTTAATATATATGCACGTATAAAATGAACTTAAAACATCAATAATGGTATGCAAATCCTAAACTCAAAAGTAAACAAAATGAAGGTATGCCACCATCAACAAATTTCAGTTACACCAGAAAATTAAACCACATGTTCCTGCACCAAAAAAATTGCAGCCGAAAAACTCATGCACGAAGACTGATAATAAAATTACATTAACAGCACCTTTGAGAAGCCCAGAGCAGAAAAAGCATTCCAACAAAGGGGTTGATCTGAAAATAATACATTTTAATTATGGTCATTGTTGATATAATTTCACGTGGACTATTTCATATTTTCCGCCTGAAAAGCATCTCTAAATTAAATACTCCAAATAAATAAATAACTGCTCCCCAAGTCCCTGCTCAAATATGTTTCCAAGACAACCCTTCCAGCATCTAACCACAAAAAAATAAGTACCAAACTCCATTTTCCCTGCTGAAATTAAAAAAAAAAAAGTAATTGTTGCTCTGGAAAAATAAATAAATGTACACACAGATAGCCACAGCCAGTGAGGGCATCTACCTCATTTTTATGTTAATGAAACTTTTGCTCAAGAGAGTCTCCCATGATTCTTGCCTTCCTTTCCCCACCCTTTGGGACAGCTTTCTTTCCCGAAATCCCACTGTGACAGAAGCGCAATAATAAACCAATAACGAAGGAGGGAAGTTTCACACCTGCTCAGAAACCCTGGGGGGAAAAGAAAAAAAAACCCAACATCCATACTCTGGCGTGACCTCTGGGGTCGTACGGGTCAGCTGGCGAGAATGCCGCTAATTCTGGGACCAAGGCTAATGACAGAGGAGGTGGCCTGCTGAGAGGAAAGCCAAAAGCTTTAGATCAATGTGCCTATCATCCTAAGTTCAGAGCCTAACAAAATCATTGCTTCCTACTCCTGTCACTCGCTGAATACAACAAAGGAGGGAGGGAAAGGTGAGAATGAGAAAAGGGGCTTTATTCACAAGGCTGCCGCTGTTGAACGGCTGAAAGGACACTCCTTTTCCTTGATATCAACTCTATGACAACCAATTAGCTAGACGGGGAGGATATTCGCCGCCTTTATAAAATAAGCAGGATCTGGGCTTCTCTTATTCATGGTTAGCTTTTCATAAATATTCCCTGCCTGACAAAGCCTCCTCCCACTCTCCTTTTGGCCATTAATTATATGGTGGGCTACTACAACTTTTTTTTTTTTTTTTAAGGCCAAACAGTTTTATTTCTGTTAATTCAAATAAGGACACTTTGGGGGAAAACAAGCTTTGGGTTTCCAGCATTCTAGGTTGTGTGGAGTTATTTAACTGATACCCTCATCCAATCGTATTTGGCTGTTATTAGAAGAACGTACAATTCCTGTCAGAGGAGGAAAAGATCTTTTCTTTGGAGATTCACAGATGCAGAGTCCTGCAGTGCAAAATTTACATTTCAAGAGTAAATGACAATCCTAATTTACTCTTGGGAAGCAGCAAACACAGCCATCCAGTGAGCACACTGCTCCTCAAGGATTGGGATGGGCAGCTCCCGATCCATGGCCATACCTAGTCCTCAGAGCAAGTCGTGACTGGTACACCCAAATGCAGTAGCAACAGAGCATATTTCTTCAGTAATACGATATATTATTATATACAGTTATTATGATAAGCATACTTTTTTTTTCTTTTTTACGCAAAAAATCTTTAAGGGATTTCCAGTCACAAATGAATGTAGGTTTTCTTTTCTCTAATCCAACAAGTCAATTTAGCTATTTCAACAAGTTCGGTAATCTTCACCACCACCCCCCATTCCTCCTTTCTATATAATAATCTTGCTGCAGTTATTGCAAATATATAGTAAACAGTGTTCTATGATTCTTTTCTGTTTATCCATCAGCAGTTTTCACTAATCCAATAAATTCTTTTGGCCAGAGGTCAAACTGCAGGCCTCATATAATATTCCCATGGCACCCTTAAGGCCCTTGACTGCTGAAAAAATAAATATGTATGTAAATATTTATGTACATGTGTGTGTGTGTGTGTATGTGTGTGTTCCATGGCAAGATAAGATCCTGCATGAGATATACCATTGACAGATAGTTGAGGGGGATAGACGTTGGGAAATCCTACCAGTGGCTCGAAAGGGCTCGACTAAAAGACAACACTGAGGCACTCATCCCAGCCGTACAAGAACAGGCAGTAAGCACCAAATCCATAAAATCTGAGGTCTACCACACTAACAGGATCCAAAGTGTGACTATGCAGAGAGGCCTCAGAGAAGGTCCAACACATATTGGCAGGGTGTAAGATGCAGGCAGGAGCAGCATGCATTGAATGGCACAAGCAAATACCTCACATAGTGTACAGGAACATCTACACGGTGTATGGATTAGACCCTCCCTAATCCAGATGGGAGATTCCACAGAAAGTCATGAAGATCGTGTGGGACTTCCAGATTTGGACCCCAGGCAGGTACTGGCCAGTCAATCAGATATCATGGCAGTAGACAAGTACCAGAAGACAGTGGTGGTGATAGATGTAGAGGTATCAATTGACAGCAACATCAGGAAAAAGGAGTATGAGAAACTAGAGATGTACCAGCGCCTGAAGGAGGAACTAGAGAGGATGTTGAAAGTAAAAGCCAAAGTGGTTCCAGTGATGGTAGGAGCCCTCAAGGCTGTGACTCCTAAGCTGGGAGGGAGACTCCAACAGATCCAGGAACATCATCAAAGCTCTCTGTCCATTGCTAGGAACAGCAAAGATACTGCGCAGAACTCTCAACTCCCAGGTACGTTATCAATTCCAGGAGACTAGTTTATACTTGCAAGTTTTATTAAATTGCATTTTGAGCGAAGGCAGTTTACATTCTTTCCCCACTATCCCGTGTTAATGATGTAGCTATTTCTGTCTCACCAAAGAATGCAGATTTATATAACCTTTATATAACTCAAGGTACACATGTACATCTGTGAATTACTTAAATAGAAAAATATATATCTCTTCAAAGTAGGAAAGTCCACAAATAGATGCCATGAGTTCCTTGAAATGATGTGTTAGCTGCTCTCCCTTTTTAGGGTAAATCTTTAAAGCAAGCTTAAAATTGGACACCCTTCCTAAAGAAATTGTCCTCTGAGAGCCTTTCAAAGAGAAAAAAAAACATCCATTTTAAAGAAGAATTCTTATTAGGATTCAGGCACTGGTGGGATTCAGCCAGTTCACACCAGTTCGGCAGAACCAATAGCTAATTTTTTGTTGCCCAGACCCAGAATGGACTTCCGGAAGCAGCATCCACACAGAGAACCGGTTGTTCACATATTTGAATCCCACCACTGGGATTGGCTAAATATGTCATCCGGTACCATTGGATTGCAGCTCTATTTTTTATAGCCAACATTTGAAATAATGTGCTTAGTTTGCTTGTCTTCTGAAAAAGGGGAAAGAAAATGACTTCTGAGATGTGTGGTCAATTTTTGTTGTCAAGTCACAATTTTGTTCTCTAGCATGATTCTCCATCTTTCTTGTCCTTTGTTCCCCTCTTTCTTTCTGTCATGATTATTAAATTTTAAGTGCAAGGAGTGAAGTAGTTCACAAGGTTAGGACACTGGGCTGAGGATCGGCAGGCTTGCATTCAAGACCCAGTTGCTGCTGGAATGGGGTGAGCTCCTGTCACACGCTCCAACTCCTTGCCAACTCAGCAGTTCGAAACCAAGCAACCACAAGTAGATAAATGGGTACCACTTTGGGTGGGGCAACTTAACAGGGACAAGAAAAGAGTCCCCAGCTGGGCCTCCCCTGGGCAACAGTGACATCACTGTTCAATCCTTTCAACCCAGAAGCGCTTTGATGCTTCTGACATGACTGTCACAGTAGTATTAAATTTTAAGTTATATTTTAAAAGTTGTATATATCTACACTGTTCTTCTTACTTGAACACAATAACATATTAGCCTCTTTCATATTAAGCAGGGAGATAGTGGGAAGACTTTGCACTGCGTTGTGAATAAATGGGCAAGAAAGAATGCTGTCTCCCTTATGTCACATTGACTGTATAGAATCAACCTTCAGCTTAGGTAAGAGTGAGATATGACCACTCCTCATACATTGTTTAGAAAAGCTCAAACCCAAATTTTATTCAAAACTAAAGTATTGTTAACGTGAGATTAACCAAGTAAATTAATTGAGAAAATGTGTAGGAGCACCAATTTAAATCCCAGTAAACAATTCTTTTGTGTTAAAAAACAAAACAAAAAAGCCACCAAAGTTCATTGGGAACATAATCAAATGGACACCCTGGAAGCGATGCCAAGAGGAAGAGTTGGTATTGGAGAGGGCCACGATTTCAAATAAAATAAAGCATTTTAACTGGAAAAATACAATTTTTAATTTTGGGGGGAAATTTAACCACTAGCCAGCTTTCATTGGTGTTTGTGTCATCACTGCAGAACTTTTCTATAGCTCTTGAAAGAGTTCATCAAACAATCACTAAGAGTCCATAAGGCAAAGAAATACCTTCTAAATCACAGTTATCAAGCTACTGAGGGAAGCTATTGTACCTCTACTGCAAACCCAAGAAGAACTGGAGAACTTGTAAATTGTTTGTTCCAAGTGCACACTGAAGGAAAACCATTGGCCGCACAAAGAAAGCTAGACACTTGATTCAGATATCTTTCCGAAATGCAAATAGTAAAATACACACCGAAGACTAGGGGTCTTCAAATGTGGCCCTTTTATGACCTGTGGACTTCAACTCCCAGAATTCCTCAGCCAGCATGCCTGGCTGAGGAATTCTGGGAGTTGAAGTCCACAAGTCATAAAAGGGCCAAGTTTGAAGACCCCTGCCAAAGATTTCTGATGAGGGGTCCCTGGCAGTCTCTGAGTTTGTTTTCTTGTAGACATTTCATTACCCAAACTAGGTAACATCATAAGTGCGAGTAAGGAGTAGGTAAGATTCCTTACTAGCACTGATGATGTTACCTAGTTTGGGTGCTGAAACATCCGCAAGAAAACAAGCAAGCTCAGAAAGCGCCAAGGACCCCTCATGTCAACCCCGAGCTACAAATATTCTCCTTTATTGGGACTTCTGATGAAGCAAATGGCTTCTCTGACGAAGCCACTTCTTTACCAGCTTGATAGGAAGCCATGATAGAATGTCATGCTAGCTAAACCTGACAATCAAAGCCAGCAGAATTAAGCTGCTAGAGTTACCTTTTCTTTTCTTAGAGATTATTAGTTGCTGGGAAGGTATCATATTTTGTATTCAGTGCCTGAACAATGGAGGACCAAAACAAAACCTTTCCAAACATTACAAAGGCAACTATTTCAAGATTTGCTTGATTTAGCCCCAGGTGAGCAGAAGGTTATCAAACAGAGATACAAATGTTAGAACAAATATCAGAATTATAGGTCTTGCCAGCTAATTTGTTTTGGCAGAATTTATACCCTAGAGGCAAGGAAAATCAGGCCCTTATGTGAGGGGAAAAAAAGAAGGAACAAAACTTTTATCCTTGCTACTTACACATTTCTGGCAAGTTCACAAAAATATGTTCTGGAAGCTTTGCCTGGGGCTCACCTTAATTGTCACCTCAGCCGCATCCGAGTGGCATTTGTCACTGCTTCAACTTATTTAAATCCTCTTATTAAATGTGGTTTTAAGTGGTGGCTCTGCCAGGCTGACATATTGTGGATGTGGTAATGCTTGTATTTAGGAGCATTTAACCAAATGGGAACAGCATGAAATGCAATGTATTGATTTTTCTTCTTTGCTGCTTTTCATTTCTTGAATATTGCATTGTCTGTTACTTGCTGTGGTTGTTTTGTTCACATCTTTACTCTCAAAGATCCAGCCTGGGCACAGCTGTTTTTTTTTTTATTCCTTCTGGATCTATAGCCTACTATTTTTGCCTTATTTTAGCTTGTGTTTTCCCCAAGGCATAGCAAGGATGTCAGGTCTTGTGAAGCCCACTGGCTGTGTTTTAGAATCTTGTCTCTGGTGGCCGAAGAAGTGCTAACGAGGAAACATCTTGGGCTGCTGGCAAGACTCCTTAATGCCTTTGTAGGAAGGCAAGACTCCCTCTATTTAAAAGAATTAGTGGAGATCTCCCCTCCTTTAAAAAAAAAGTGTATAAATAAGGAGAATCACCCAATTATAGGAAGGCTTGTGGAACAGATGTTAGAAAAGCAATTGAAGGAGGATGTCTTTGATGACGGAGCCTCCCTCAGTACTTTTCAATCTGGTTTCCCACCAGCTTGGGGAACAGAGGCAGCATTGTAGTTCCCAGGGAATAAACTATGTCTGGAGATTGGCTACAGATATTGATTTGCTACTAATCAGTGCCTTTAGCTGCTACAGCTTTCCTTGTACGAATTGAAGTGGGATTCTAGTGACCATGGGGACAGGTGTATTTTTAAGGCCACAGGAACAGTTTACAGGGGAAGAATCCGCTCAACTGAGTAATGTTTGCTAATCCTTCATTGATGACTTGGAAGGAAGGAAGGAAGGAAGGAAGGAAGGAAGGAAGGAAGGAAGGAAGGAAGGAAGGAAGGAAGGAAGGAAGGAAGGAATTA